GGCCTGGGGCGCGGTGGCCGGGGCCTGCCGGACCAGCAGCCAGTGCGGTTGGCCCTGGGGCCACCCCAGCTGCTCGGGGGGCCCTGGGGTCAGCCACCCGGGCTGCTGCAGAAGTCACAGAGGTCCCTGAAAGTCTTGGAATCCATGACCTCGGTGAAAGACTTGCAGCCTTAGAGATAGCCAAAGCCTTCAGCTTCTCTTCAGTGTGTAATTTGGCTCACGGGCAGGTTATTGGTTCTTAGGCTGCATTGCCATAGAGAGCAGTAATTGAGTATCTTCATTCAGTGAATGTTTCTCTGACTTAGCTGGAAGCCACACAACCACAGGCTGTGATCTTATCCGTTCTGTGATCATATCAGCTCTGGCAAAAACTGGCATGGACAGTCCTTGGCGGAGAGAGTACCAGGAAAGCGCAGGGTATCTGAAGAAGTGGGACTGGTGATTCAGTGTCACTCTTTCCACTGAGTCAGTGCCCAAGCAACCCCTACCAAGGAGACGTCTTTTCCCAGGATGTAGACAATTCACTCCCTTAAGACTCAGAACCAGACCTCTCGTGGTCACTGAAGGTCCCGTGGCACTTTCTGGAAGAGTTGGGGGGTTAGCCAAGATTCCCTGGTCAAATTCCACTAGGTAACTACATCCTGCATTTGCTCAATCCCTTCTGCAGTTTTAGTTGTACCAAGTTCCTGTCTTCAGCTGTTATGTAGCTCTGACCCAACAGGGCCCGTGAGAGCTAAGCTGTCCCTCACCTGCTGAGATCTGACCCAAGAGGACTTGCTTTCCTACATGTCCCCTCTATCAGTTTTTATGGTGCTGCTGCATTTGTCCCCTAAGTGCAATCATTGGCATGGCAGGTTTCCTGCTCTGAGTGGTGGAGGTGAACATCAAAGGAATTAACACCTACTCTCTGAAGCCATTGTCTTTAGTTCCCGCAGCCAAAGCCTGACTGACCTTTCTAATTCCTGTTTAGTTCTTGTTAGTCAGCAGCATAATAACCACCAAACCCACAGAGAGATATATGTAACGTTCAAAAATTAATACAGTCATCTCCCATGTCCTTGACTGTTGCCATTTCACAGACATCTAGAGTGGCAGCAGATAGGATGGGTTATTAGGCACACAGCAGTTTTTCCATCTGCCTAAATTCTTTCTGTGTTGTAACATAAAGAAAATAAAGATGAAATTCTCTTGTGTTTGTTGACCTATGGAAGGGCTTTCCTAAATATTGACTTAAAGTGCAGTCACTCCATAAGCCATTATTATTAATGATGAG